GCATCGGGCAACTCTCTAAGTTAGAGAGCATAGATCTTTCTGAGAATCAATTGAGTGGGAGTATTCCAGGTAGCATCGGGCAACTCTCTAAGTTAAAAAGCATAGCTTTTTCTTATAATCAATTGAGTAGAAGTATTCCAGATAGCATCGAACAACTCTCTAAGTTAGAGAGCATAGATCTTTCTGAGAATCAATTGAGTGGGAGTATTCCAGGTAGCATCGGGCAACTCTCTAAATTAGAGAGCATAGATCTTTCTAAGAATCAACTGAGTGGGAGTATTCCAGGTAGCATCGGGCAACTCTCTAAGTTAGAGAGCATAGATCTTGTTAAGAATCAATTGAGTGGGAGTATTCCAGGCTGTATCGGGCAACTCTCTAAGTTAAAGAGCATAGATCTTTCTGAGAATCAATTGAGTGGGAGTATTCCACGTAGCATCGAGCAACTCTTTAAGTTAGAGAGCATACATCTTTTTAGAAATCAATTGAGTGGGAGTATTCCAGATTGCATCGGGCAATTTTCTAAGTTAAATAGCTTATATCTTTCTCACAATCAATTGAGTGGGAATATTCCAAATAGCATTGGGCAGCTTTCTAAGTTAGAGAGCATACATCTTTCTCACAATCAATTGAATGGGAGTATTCCAAATAGCATCGGGCAGCTTTCTAAGTTAAAGAGCATATATCTTTCTCACAATCAATTGAATGGGAGTATTCCAAATAGTATCTGGCAACTCTCTCAATTAGAGAGGATAGATCTTTCTAGCAATCAATTTGGAACAAGATTTCCTAAATTGCATCAATTACAAGAGACGATACGCTTAGTTGATCTCTCTAATGCTAGCATCTCAGGTCCTCTTCCAGAAAATATAGGTTATATGATGCCAATGTTGTGGGGATTATATCTTGCAAATAACTTCATGAATGGTTCAATTCCAAAGTCACTATGCAATGTACAAACATTGACAGCACTTGATCTCTCAAACAATATGTTATCTGGAAATATTCCAAAGTCACTATGCAATTCAAAATATTTGATATTTCTTGATCTCTCAAACAATATGTTATTTGGAAATATTCCTAATTGTTGGAGAAATGATCAATCATTCAAGTTGATTGATCTATCTTCCAACAATCTTTCAGGTTTATTTCCAAGCACAATGGTGCGGCTTTCTTCTTTAAGTGAATTGCACTTGAACAACAATAGTCTCCATAAGGAACTACATGTGACCTTGAAAAACTTTACTTCTTTAGTGGTTTTGGATTTGGGTGAAAATAAATTTTTTGGAAATTTAACAAGTATTATAGGAGACGAGATCAACAACCACTCTTTAAAGGTTCTCCGACTGCGAAAAAATTTGATTTCCGGTTATATTCCTTTAGAACTATGCTTTCTCTCTCAATTGCAAATTTTAGATCTTGCTGATAATAATCTAACAGGAAAGATTCCTCCTTGTTTTGGAAAGTTTCCGATTATGGTGAATGCAACACAATTGAGCCATGACATGGGTAATGAATATTGGGATCAAGACCCTTCAATGGGTATTTTGCTTGCTAGATACATTAAGCATTGGGATTTGGAACCTTTGATGGAGGTTGTAAAAGGGAGATACCTTGAGTATATGAGAATAACTCTAAGACTTGAGATTAGTATAGATCTTTCGAGGAACAATCTAATAGGATCCATACCAGAGGAGCTAATTTTCCTTAAGAATTTGCACAATTTGAATCTATCTTGGAATCATCTCTCAGGAAATATCCCTGAAAAAATTGGACAAATGGAGAATTTAGAATCTCTCGATTTCTCCAACAATGGCCTCTCAGGAATGATCCCAAACAGTATGTCAAGTTTAACCAAGTTAAGCTACCTCAACTTGTCTTGCAACAACTTGTCAGGGCCAATTCCAACAGGCTATCAGCTCCAAACACTTGAAGATCCAACCATGTATGCTGGCAATCCTCAACTCTGTGGAGTTCCACTCCTGAAGAAATGCTCAAATGATACATTGCCCCCAACAATCGCCAACTTCAAGGGCAATAGTGAAGGTGCACTTAAAAGAATGTGGTTTTACATTGTCGTGATGTTAGGTTTTGCAACTGGATTCTGGGCAGTTGTGGGAACTTTGTTTTTTGTGAAAAATTGGAGATATGCTTATTTTCAATGGATGGATGATGTCCAACACTGGATACTTGTGGTTATAACATTAAAGGTGGCACAATTCAAGATGATGTTCAATGGCGACCAAGATGATCAATAAGTTATATATGGAGTATGTTGTTGTTGCTATATTAATTATTAAGTTAGTTGGACAACACCATATCACAGGTAATAGTGTCAAGTCCAACTTTGAATGACCCAATTAGTATTAGAATTTGTAAAATTTTCAATAATATAACATAGGTTGTAATTCTATAAGTTTCACAAAAATAAAAATTCATAAATTCTGATAGAAAATAGAGAATTCTATGTAAGGTTTTCAAATTGCATGAATTTCTATCTTTTTAGTTTTGTTTTAAAAAAGAAAAAAAAAAAAAGAAAAATAAAGCAAGAGATGAAAAATTGAGATAGGAAGAATGACTTAGCCGAGTAAATAATAATAACCAAAATAAAGTCCTTACATATTCATAGTCAAAGTTTAGAACTTTCAATCACACACAATCAAATTATTTAATTGAGTATCCAATATAATGCAACTCTTACATAAAATTCTCATGTCATCAATATTTTTTAAAATACATTTTTACATTGCATAAA